GGGAATTTCTAGCGAACCAAATGCAGATGAAAGACAATGATGTTAAATATATGTTGTTTATGAATAGGATTAAACCAATGTTCCCTACAGACCCACCCAACCCAATGGAGGGGTTTTGCTAGCAACCCGATCACACAAAACTGTCCAGATTTTTATAGAGTAGGCACATCTAAAAAACACGTGGTTTACACTTTCCGCATCCGACTTGCAAAGCAAACATTGGGAAGGGATTCTCAATCCCTTCAATTTAAGGATATCATCCATTGGAACCAAACCAAGTAAAACTCTCCAATTAAAAAAAAAACATAAAAGGGGTCAAACATTTTTTCCAAATCACACCACCCCAGTCCACCTTGTCCCAAGTGAAAAGTTTTGGATAATAGTTTTAGTAATAGAGCAATTGATAGTATCAGTTGACAGAACTTTATCCTTTTGGGACTTATCAAAAGGAATCTTAGAGATATAAATAGTTTTATCATTACCTAACATATTTGTGAGCATCTCCAAGTTACACCCTTCATCAAGCTAAAGATCAATCACAGTCAAGTCTTTTTTATCATGCGTAAAGCAAGGAGATATACCTTCTTCCTGTTATTTATCATACCAAAAGGATAAGCTACCATTCCCAAATTTCCAGTGGATAAAGTCCTCAGCAGTATTTCTGATTTTCAGCATGCATTTCTAAGTATTGGAATCACCAATCTTGGAATGAACCTCCAATGGATAAAGATTTCTACAATATTTGATTTGCATGTATTTGGCTCATAGAGATTCAGCTTTTCTAAATTTTAACCACAGAAGAATAGAGTTGACCTCAGCTCGATCCTTTAGTTGTCAAATCCCAGCCCACTTGCATTTAAAGGCCTACATAGCACCTTCCAACGGGCCCAAATTCTTTATTTATGATTCCCAAACCATAAAAATTTATTAAAAAGCCTTTTAAGTATTAGTTGTGTGTGATGTTTGATCCTTAACACCTGCAAAACATATAAGGGAATAAAGGTTAACACACTTTTCAGCAATGCGATCCTTCCCCCAAAGATAAAAAAGAATTGGTCCAATCTCCAATTTTGTTTTTAATTTTATCCACCACAGTATCAAATTGCAACTATTTTCTCCTCCCTTTGAGTAAATTAAGCCTCGAGTATTTTAAGAGGAGATCAACAATCGCAAAGCCAGTATATTCATGCGTTCATGCCTTCATATTGCTACTCACATGTTTCCCAAAATAAAGATGGCATTTCTCAATATTAAAGTTCATGTCAGAAGCTTCATGAAATTATAGAAAAGTATGATATGTTTTTTTGGTAAAGTATTTGAAAATAATCACATCATTAGCATAGGCTAAATGGCTAACACCCATTCTAGCATTATTTTTGTACTGAGTATGCAGATGTAGAATCTGCAGGGAATTAATTAATCTAGAAAAATAATCAAATAAAAGAATAAAGATAGTAGGTGAGAGAAGATCCCCTTGTTTTAAGTGTCTACCATATGTGAAAAAGCCATGTGCTTGCCCATTAAGGAGCACCTGAGAATAGTTGCCCTCCAACCAACCCTTGATAAATTGCATAACTTTCAATTTAAGTCCCTAGATTTAATGACCTCTAAGTATAAAATTCAGCTAATAGTGTCATAAGATTTCCTTAAGTCCAGTTTGATAATAAGATTTCCCCCTCTGCATTTATAGTCATGATCAAACATTAATTCTTGTGCCAATAAAATATTATCTGTCATACCTCTTCCCTGGATGAAAGCTGATTGATTTGGACAAATTAGGATAAGAAGATCTTGCTTTAGTATTTCCACCATGATCTTGCTTAAGATCTTTGACATTACAAAATTTAAGCAAATGGGTCTAACATGTTCCCATTTTGCATTATCATTATTCTTTGGAACTAGTGAAATGGAGGAGGTTGCAAAGTATTTACACATAGGAGTGCCCCATGGTAGCATTGAATAGCATCAACCACATCTCTTTTGACCACCTCCCAACTGTTTTCATAGAAATCAGCAGAAAATCCATCAGGGCCAGCAACCCTGTTCCCACACTATCTTTAAGAGTCTCCCATATTTCAGCCACAGAAAGTATATCAACAAGTTGTAAAGATGAGGTTAGTAGTTTAGCTTCCCAGGCAATGTCAGCATCCAGCACTACGTCAAAGTTTACCTTCGAAAAAAGAAGCTCGAAATGATAGATTCCATTTTTAATAATCTCTTCCTGATCTATGAGCGAACTACCATTATTATCTTGAATTTTTAAAATAGTATTCATTCTCCATCAGTTTTTAATACATACATAAAAATAGCTAGTGTTCCTATCATTCTCCAAGAGGTTTAGTTTACTAGCCTTTTGCTTTTGAGATATATATATATCACCCTCTTTAGTATATAATCTATTATAAGGATAACTAAAAGCAAAATTTTATCATTACATATTGTTCTTTTAGACTCTCAGCAGACCACTTTATATTTTTCCCAATTCTTTAAGTTTTACATTTAAACCAATTTTTATAACAAAATTTCTTATATTGTATCTTGTTTTGCAAATTATTATTCTACCACCAAGTATTTTTATTTATAAGAGATTCTATTTTTAATTATTTAAATATATTTTTTATAACTTACTTAACAGTGATCATTACTTTCTCCCACATAGCACTAGTTTATTTATGAACATCCCAAATTTTAAAATATTAAAATTTACTCATTAAAATGATTTTATTTGTCTTGTAAGTATCCCATCTAATTTTATGACAATATTTCGTGGTATTTTTTTTTATTTTCTAACATTTAACCTTAAAATTTAAAACTAATAATTTATGTTGAGCACTTAAATTTTCACTTAAAAAAACCTTACAATCTTTATAATTCTTACGCCAGGTAAATTTATCAAAAAAATACTTCGTTCATCAAGAAAGCATTGAACATGTAATGATAATGATGAAATTCATTGAGAGAGCACAACCATTGCATTAAACTTCCCATCATTGTGAGTTATAGGGAGCGTTTTATGAATGCATTCTAATCTTTACATTATAGAGAGATTGCTTCCACAATTCAACACCATGACCGCTAGAGAAAAGTTGATACAATATAATATATTATCTAGGCTTCCTTGTAAAAAAATAGTATCCATTGGGCGTTAAAAAGAATGAGCTTACAACCAGAAATAAAGTTCTCCATAACATCAGAAAATATAAAGTCCATTTTAAACAATTAGTCATACAAGGGTCAGCATATTATCTGATCTCCAAAGTACATTTCTAGAAACAAAAGAAAACGTGTACTCCATTTGACAAAGCTAGATATAGATGTAGAATTAAATAGTAAGAACCATTTTAGGCACATTTCATATCTTATTATGATATTCCAAAGAGAAAAATCTTAATAGGTTGCTCGTAAAGAATTCAAACTTTAAGAAGAGATGTTTCACCTAGAAAGAGTAACATTTTTGTAGCTTACAAATGTTTCTGAATATTTTGATCGATTTTATAAAGTTCAAAATCGAACCATCACATTTCTATCAAGTTACATTAGTCAAGACAAATCGCACATTATAGAATTTGAAGTCTTCAATGAGAAAGAAAGTCTTGTCCTTGAAGTGTGTGGGCGGACTGATTATTCCCAGTATAATAATTATCAAATATGTCTCTACTTCACAAAAGTTATTTAGATTATCTTAAAAAACACAAAACCAAGGCTCTTGTTGACGCGGGGACTCCGTGGGTCGGCCCGGCACAGACCGGTCCAGCCTCCATGCTAGACCGGACCATTCAGACCGACTTAATTGGGGCGAAAACTTTTGTCCCTCCTCATCTTAGGCCTTAATTCCTCCCCTACCAAAACCTCTCCTTCCTACTTGGACTAAATTCCAAATTCTTACATATTCCCTCCATTCTCCTTTAATCCTTTCCAATTTCTCTACCTACCCAGTTTAGCCCCTGCTTCCATCTTATTTATAATTGTTGTGTGTTGATTACTAAACAGTTTTTTATCATTTTTTATTTTCAGGTGTGCTGTACAAACATTCCCTCTTCGAGGGATGTATCCCAAGGCAAGCAGCGTTACAGTTGTACCTCGCCCAAGGTGGTATGTCTCTCCACTTCATTCCTTACTCCCCCTGTTAGTCACTGGTGTCTTTCTCTGCACAAAAAGGTCATTGGCCCCTTTCCCTGCTCGCCTCTACCAAACGCACTCCTGCCAACCTCCACAGACAAGCCGCTACTCCCCTTAGGGATCGACTTAGCTGCTTGCCAACTCTATTCATGCCACAAACGAGCCGGGGATCTCCTACATTTTCTCTCCCTGCTATTCGCACACTCGCCACGCCCATCTCCGCACGGGTCAGCCCACGACTCCCGTACCTCTTTGGTAGTCCACCTCTAACAGACATTTGAAGGCCCCCTTTCTATCGCTTCCAAGTTCTTGTTCCTTGCCTCTACTGATCTATGTCATTGCCAGCCTTCAAGTCCAGTGGTCCCACATTCCCTGAGCATCTTTTGGCGGTCCAACAGACTTGTCGGACTCCAACGTCACGCCCGCAACTTCACAGTTAGCCGGATCTACCGCGTCACTCAAGAGGGTTGTTTATGTCTTTTGTTATTTATTTATGTTTGTTTTTATTTTTTGCAAATCACATTATCATTATTTGTGTTGTGTTATTGTTCTTGTAGCATCGTCCTTGTACCCCTTTTGAAAATCAACTATAAAATTGTGTGTTGTTTGTGTCGTGATTTGAGTTAACTCCGGTATCACATTTCCATTAATTTCATTCATGTAAAGCATCGCCCAAGAACAGCTAATTGCAATAATGTGACCAAAAAATCTTTTTTTTTTCCCATGAATTAGCCTAAAAACAATGACACACATGAATAAAGCACGTAGAAGCACTTCAGAGGGCAATCAGTTTAATAATGGAAGGAAATGAATTAGTTTAAGATGACAATTCGCACGAACACAAGAGTTTATAAAATCCATGGGCCCAAAGAAAGCTTTACCGCATGCAAGTCAGCAATGAAGAAGAGTGTCTCATAAGTATCCTGAAAAGGAATAGAAAGAAATGTAATAAACTATGAATGACACGGATGTATGATAAGTAAAACCACTAGTTTCTCAGAAAAGCATTAATAGGACAGATAAAAATAGTTATCCAGTTACAGTTAACACAAACAATAAACATGAAAAGAAAATTCAAGTTTAACATGCGGAAAAAAAAAACATATTTTTGATGTTGTGTGGAGGGTTTAGGAACATATTCTGGAAGTAGATATCAACCGTGCTGGCCTTTACAAGGTAACTAAATAATATAAGGTATTCTAGAGAGAAAGAGATATCACCTGTGGAAGGGGAGTAGAAGTAGAAAAATCAAATTTTCTATTTGATCTGGAGTAATAGATGGCACATTGAACCAATGCCTTGCAAGCAAATCGCCTCACAGTTTTGGAAGAAAAAGTAAATTAGAGTGAAAACATTGCTTTTAACATTGAAGGTTGTCAACTTCTCAAACAAAAACACTATCATTATGATCTTCCTTAACGGGCCTATTTTGGATAAGGTAAATTATGTTTTACATAAAAAACTTTCTAATTTGTTCAGGTATGAAAGTAAAATTGCTTTGTTAATCATCGTAGATGCATCTGATTACAAACACATGGCAGAGAAGTGGACTGATCTTCAGAATTTACAGTAACGATTAGGCATCTAGAAATGATTTACGTCAAAAGAGAATTAATAGATGGCCCAAGAACATGTAAATGCTATCTTTTTCTTGCTTATCTAAAGGAAATTTCTTTGTTGGGCAGCTATTAAATCATCACGTGAGACATTCAAATATAAAGAAACATTTAATAATTAGTCCTTTAAAGTGCAGCCCCTAAAAAGGTTGAACTTACAAATAAAAATTGTAGTGGAGCTGATATACATTTAGGGTATTTTAGGGATAAATTTTTCTCCACTTCGCCTTTTACAATACTTTCCTTTTTAGACCACTGTCGCGCCTCTATTTGGCTACTGGTTTCTTTTTTTTTTTTAGATATTTTTGTGATGGAAAACTGTTTATTAAAACCCAATCTTTTAAAATATGAA